CCGGCTCGAAGCGCAGGAGAAGGTACGGGGTGATTTTTAGTCAGTAATAATCTGATACTCTCTCCCGCCTCACCAGGCAGGAGCACTCATTCGAGTATTTCCCCCCTTAAAAAATATATCCTACCTACGTTGAATATCTTCTTCTATGCCATGTCCCAAGTATTCTTTTAAAAAATATTCTGTGTACAGTTTTGACTTTACTACGATTTTATTATATGTACCTATAGAGAATACTCAGATAAAACGAATGAAAGTTTATGAGAGGGAGGTAAAACGTCATTTCTACGCATAAAACGTCCCTAGAAGTGACGTCACGCGATATCTCAAATCAATAAATCGTCAAAAGTATTCGTTTCTGTAAGAAAATAAAAAATACGTGTCTAATGTTGTAAGATAATATATCAAACAGGCATGGAAATAAAAATTAGTCATCTACCCTATAATAGACGAGTCGTATCGTCCTCGTGTCGTGGCCAGGTCACGTGAGTCCTCGGCAGTAGCTTGTAGGACGTCCGAGCCGAGGGCTTCAGTCGTCGAACTCGGCTCGAGTTACTTACCACTAGTAACGAGTCGCCACTGCGTTTGAACAAGGCTCTGAATAATTTTATTAGATTCATTTTGTAGCTAATTCGTTTTCTAAGAATATATTTGAGAATAAGCTGTGATATTTAACCGACTTCAGAAGATGAAGGAAGTTCTTAGTTCGACCTGTACGTACGTAGGAATTTATGAATGTTTGTTGTGATTAGTGATGGGATTTTACCCGGAAAAAACCCGAGTATGGGAAAAAACCGGGAAAAAACCCGGGGAAAATTCCCGAATGGGAAAATATTCGGGTTTTTTCATATTTAACACATGTAACAAATAAGTAATGTGTAGATTATGTACATATCATATAGTACGTACTATTTAAGAACTATTACTACAAGTTAGAGCTAATCTAACTTTGTTTATGTTCATATTGCAGTAATAACGTTCTTAATATCCTTAGGGACCTACTATCAAATGAAATAAAATGAAATTAAACAAAAATCCTGTCTGTTTGTGTGTGATCCTCCGCTCTTAGCGACAGGTAACCCGAAAATACGTGAGCGGGTAGAGGGGCAGGGAAGCAGGTAGTAGAGGGGCGAGCGCGTTGGTGATCTATCTATCTCACACGTTGTTTCGGCTTCATACTGTGCGCACTCGTGTTAATTTGTTGGTTTAATTGACGACTTGGATTTTGTTTGGTGGACTTTTGGTTACCTAATCCTTTGAATTGACAACAACTGCTACTCTTACGGACTTTGATACCTACTTTTTTTACGAACGAAATTTACCGGTAAATTTACAGTTTTGTAACTTTTGTAAAGTATAATAAATGATTGTTAGTAAGAGTATCTCTCGTTGTTTTAATTATATTATTTTAGTCAAACATTCTTTAAAGTTTAATAGGTATTTTTTCTGCTGTTAACATTCCATCACAGAGCGCAGTAAAAACTTATTATAAAACAAGAAGACGTCTTTATGGTGTTATAATAAATATGCTGGTTATGTTTTAGTCCTTGAAATAGACTACACATTTTAACGTTTCAAATAACAGACAACAGCTAGTGCCTTATACACGCTGGTGCTAAGTACTACTCTGTCAAGAAAGTACCGGGAAAAGATCAATAATACAAAAATGTCTGTTATTCATCCAAATTTATTTTATCACCTTTAAACTGTCAAACACCGAGCGGTCGGTGTTTGACAGTTTAAACTGTCACCGGTGACCGCAACCTATTGTTCTTTAATTGTCTGTAATGACGGTACTCAACGAGTTAAAGTATGCTCCTTTAGAGACGATACACTTGCGCCAACGAATAATCTATTCATCAAAACATTTTTTAAACGCTGCTTCCAGAATTGAGTTTAGTTCTCGCCGCGAATTCTCCTTTACGTCTTCTATCGATTGAAAACGGGTGCCACGAAGTGGTAATTTGAGTTTAGGAAAAAGAAAAAAGTCAGCAGGAGCCATATCTGGTGAATATGGTGGTTGCTGGATGGTATTTGTTGAGTGTTTGGTCAAAAATTCGTTCACCTTGATGCCACCAATGATAGCCTTGTGCGAAGGCGCTTTCTCGTGGTGCAAAATCCAAGAATTTTCTTTCCACAAATCTGGCCTTTTTCGTAGAATTTGCTCTCTTCAACGCCGCATAAAGCTCAAATAATATTCTTTATTTACCGTTAGACCTTCCGGTAAGAATTCAGAGTGCACAACAGCGCGATAGTCAAAGAAAACAGTCAACATGACTTTGACTTTTGATCGACTTTGGCGTGGTTTTTTCGGTTTCGGTTCAGTTGGAAGGCGCCACTCCGAAGCTTGTTGACTAGTTTGCATGCCAAACTCATAAACCCACGTCTCGTCACCAGTAACAATGCGTTTCATGAATGTTGGGTCCAAACTGACTCGTTCTAGCATATCCTCAGCGACTTTCATGCGATTGAGATTTTGGAGAAAATTTAGATCTTTTGGAACTAGTCGAGCAGCAACATGTTTCATACCCTTTAATGTATAGTATAGATTAGTTAAAATGGTACGGATCGACTCGTGAGATACAGAAAGTTCGGCGGCTATCTCTCTCAGAGTTGAATGGGGATTTTCAGTCACTATTTCCTTCACTTTTGCGATGTTAACTACAGTTGCAGACCAGAGCGAGGCAAATCTTCCATCACATCTCGACCGCTTTTGAACGCTTTGAACCACTCATAAGCACGAGTTTTTGATAAAGTCGATTCACCGTAAGCTTTCTGTAACATTTTTAGTGACTCCGAACACGAAATTCCATTGGCGATGCAAAATTTAAGACAAACTCTTTGATCGATATTTGTGTCCATTATGAAATTCACAATATACATTATATATGATATTTCTGAAACCAGCGCTGTATTTAATATAAATAACAGATGCAACTCAAACTCCGCGCCAAAATGGAAAACAGTTGTGCCAATCTAACAACTACATAAAAACAAAAATTTGAATTTGGAACCATAAACAAATCATCCATTCCCGATACTTTTTTGAGTGAATGTAGGTATATGCGCATCACAAAGTACCTATTTATTTAGTTCTGAAAATAAAAATAGAATAAGATCATTATAAATGAAAATACCCGCCTATTGGGTTTTTTCCCACATAAAAACCGGGTTTTTTCCCAAATGGGAAATATCCTGGGTTTTTTCCCTTTGGGTTTTTTCCCAGTGCCCATCTCTAGTTGTGATTATCTGGCGATCGACTGAAGTGATTATGATGTGTTCTTTAGAAAAGCGTTTATTACACTGAGGAGAAAGTTTTAGTAGGTATATTATACCACCCCGTTCCTACTCCTGCACTTCGAGCCGGAGCCCCGGTAACCCGTTAAGTTCTCCGCGGCTCCGTATCGGTATCAGCCCTATATTAGGCCCCATCTGTGGTGATTCGATGGCTCCTTATGAGGCGCACAGCGAAACGCGCCGCGCCGTACGCTTGGGTCTGGTCCTGGTCAGACGGCGAGTCACCCGTGCCCGTCGTCCGCAGGCCCGTGCTTACGGTGCCCGGAGAAGCATGCATGACTTCTGTTTATATTTCTCACATGATCATGATAATTTTGAAATTGGAAAAACTCAACATCAGTCATATACATAACATCGGCTATTCAGACTTTTGAGAGATAGGGGGATAAAAAATTTCCCGGATTTTGGAAAAATTACTTTTTCCTTTTACTACAACTTTCTTAGTACATACAAAGTCGCGGAGAACCTAACGGGTAACCGGGGCTCCGGCTCGACGTGCAGGAGAAGGAACGGGGTGGTTTTTAGTTAGTAAGAGTCTGACACTCCCTCCCGCCTCACCCAGGCGGGAGCAGTCATTCGATGATTGTCCCCCCTTAAAAAAAAGTACATACAAAAGTGAAATCATTTCATTGTATGTCTCATTTAAATTTACAATTCTTAGATTGGCATAAAACTTATGTATATAGCAGTCTGCAGTAGCAGGCAAAAGAAAGAAATGTCATAGTAAACACAGCATTTTTATTTATCAACACATAAAATCGTGTATAAAATGTAATTGTGAATAATCCTATAACAATATATATAATAACTACTAAGGTTGGTTTTAAGAATTTGTGTGTAGTTAGTTTAAGTTTATTGGTGTCTTTAAGATTTGTTAAGATTTTAGGTACTGTTAAAAAGTTGTATAAAGTATTCTAGTACTACAATGTCGTTAGGCACGGAAGTCAACAACAATAATAGTATTGTCACGCAATACGCTGCTGACCTCCATGTTTTTCATAAGAGGGATACATTCAGTACCGTCTTTACCATAAGGACACTCGGTGCCCGTGCCCAGGGCCCCCATACTCAGGGGCCCCGAATGATCTACAATTACACCTTGCGCGGTAAACGACTGCTTCGTAACTTCGGAGCTTCTTTGCGTGATCCACAAATCATTGTTTTGGGTTTGGGTGTCATGTGTATGTGAACTTGTTTGTTTATAAATGGACCTACGACGCCACGGGAGAAAATCATAGTATGAGTAAATGTAAAAAAAAGAATGATTTCAAAAGGGCCTCGATTTGTTGTGTGGCCCAGGGGCCTAAGCGTAGTCTAAGACGACCCTGTGTACATTCGTTTATGGCTTCATCATAAACGGTTCAAGTTTTTCAGAGGACACTGCTGTTTGATCCCCGTTAAATGTCCTCCTTAAGTTTTAGGACACCAACAGATCTGTCTATTTTATTTAACATATCTAACCTAATTTAACCTAATTTTCTGGTTTACGTAGAAAAGGTCTACCTTTGTGCTATATGAGGTAAGTATTTCCACATGAAATGAATATACTTACAACAGAATGCCGGCCTGTATTTCATGATAGATCACGTTGTACCGTATTTTTAGTAGGGAAACAACTATTGTAGGTGCTTTCTATTTATTTAGTAACTATTTACAGTTAAGCTTCACAATATCATCAGGTAAAACACAAAATGAAACACGAAAAATGTATTTTATATGCATATATTCGGATTCAATATTTCAATAGCTATCAGTAATTAATACAACTTAACTTAAAAAAAATACACTGACTCTTGATAGAACCGTACAAGTAATGTACTTAACTATTTAGCTATTTCCAAGCTTAATATTTACTATAAATTACAATTTCATTACATTAAAAACTACGAAATTGGGAAATTTGTTTTCGACACTGGTATCCCTCAAACATCGATCGTTATGCAAATATAATAAAATTATACTATTCTTGAAAGAAAAAATAATTAAATAAAGTATTTATTCTGGCGTTTAAAAAAAATATATAAAAAAAATTAAAATACTCTATGATCTACTCGCCATTTTGTTTAGGTAACAAATAGATGCGTTCAGATATAAGTTCGGGCTATAGTTCTTTATGCCCCTCTACGAAATTTACCTTACCTTCAAAAAGGAAAGTTAATCTTTACACAAGTTGGTGAAAGTATTTACAAATAAAAGTAATGCCGATGTTCAAGTAACCCCCAATCGCGGTTCAATAACTAATGTAGACATTAGGCCCATATTCCCCGCTCAAAATATTCCCGTTTTAATCATAACACAATATAAATTAACTAATAATCTCATTATAGTACTCTGATCTGATATTATCGGACTCAAAAACCCGATTACGAGTCAAAGAGATTTTTATTTGTTTTTAATCCGCCATTTTGGCGGCAATGTGCTACTGTCATGGGCGCCAATTACGTTTAGTAGCCACCTTCGATCAAGTCTCTTTATTAAACATACAATTTAAATGTCAATTAATAAAAAACGAAACAAAAATACGTTAAATAAGTTAAAATTTACGGTTCAATAATATTTTAATCCCTGAAACGAAGATGGCTACGAATTTACCCTAAAATTTCATTGTTTTACGAATTTAAAATTATTTCGTACAAGTTATGGCAGGGTTGTCACTGGTCTAAAAATTACAAAAAAAAATACAATCGCTTAGAACTAGACAATAATAACCCACATATACATTCGTAGCACACACATATACAAAATAAAATTCTTAACATATACTTTATGTACAATAGAACTATGTAACGTTACTTATATTAAAAAACTTAGGTTCAAACACATCATCAGTTTTGAAGAAAAACCTTATGTACAGACAAAAGCACATCAAGCAATCCCAATAATGTTAAAAGATTTACAACTTTACAACGAAGTAATTACGGTTGAAAATCTATTAAAGCATATTTGGGAAATTAGAGTACTTCGATATTTAAAATAATAAAATCTATTTTGACGCATTCATATCAATATTCTTTTTTATTTAAATTGGTGAATTCAAATATAGAAGTTTGTTGACTTTAGACGTGTAGGTAATAAAATTCGTCAATGTTTGCCCTTTTTCGTCTTAATACAAGTAACGTTTAATTATTTCGTTAATTTAGCGAATTCCCTCACTAAATTTTAACCTAAGTAACTCCTTTTTTAAATATAATAATCTGATATGATTTCAGGTGTTTTTAGACGGGCGCGGGGAAGCAAATTCAAAACAAAATAATCTTTATACAATTTCAAGATATTTTTCCACATTTGAACGCCCTAAATATTTTTGGAAATTGTCCTTTGTTCTTTTCGAAGTTTATTTATAAGAAATAATAATAGATTAACTATACAATAGTACTTCCTTCGTTTAAAAAATTAGGCCTCTCGACAAAGATTTCGTTGAAAATCGTTTCATAGTAGCGTTTGATGTAAAATGAATTAATTGTCTTTTGTAAATTTTAGTTTAAACAGGACTTGAAGTCATATTGTAGTAATTTATGATAATAAATAACTTTTAGTATCTAAATATGATAACAAGTCTTGTTAAAAATAACCATTTACAATATATAAGAACGCTTTCCTACACTTGAAGTAAATAAGGACGATTGAAAATCAATTTGTATGTTTTGTATAACAGCACGTCGAATGATATGTACTTACATCGTATTTTTATAAACTTTCATATTTTATTAAAGTTAAAGCAAATAAAGAACACTTAAGTACAAATAAAAAATGAAAATAGAGAAAAATACGAGAGAAAAGTTGTAGCGAGCATCGAATCTTAGTAACTTTCGATAACTAAACGCAACTGACAGGTGTCAAAAAAGCATAGAGTTCCAAAAACATACAAACTCCTTTTGAATCGTCCTCGCACACCCACTATACAGACATATGTACAACTACAAAATAAAGGACTAGATGTACTAAACCATATTGATACCGTACTTTTCTGGCGCGAAATAACTGTTCCCCGAATTTGAAAAGTTCGTTATTTGCGAGGCTTGTAGCATGCTCAAATGTGGCGAGTTTTGGGATTGGTTCTCTGGCGATTCTGGGCCTGAAGACAGAATGTTGTGGTGTGATGCCCAGGCCCCTGGAGGAGATGGGTTGCCGAAGGATACTTGGTTGTATAGCTGGTTGCCATTGGCAGTCAGGTTGTGACCATGGTGACTGCCGTGCGATTGGTTCACCGAAGCACCGTTGAAGTATTCCATCTGTAAAGACGATTTAGGTTAGAATTTTTGTCCAAAAATGGATAAACGAATAACTTAAACTCTGATATATCTGGTATCTCGTATATTACACATTCGATTAGCTTTTTTGTATTTAATTAAACATTTTATTGATAAGTTGACAGATTAAATAAAAAAAAAAACCGTTAAGATTTGTCTTCTAAAAACGAATTTAAAATGGCAGTTTTTGGTCTATTTTAATTATTCATCAAAATAAGATTACCTGCGACACGAAATCGTTAATGAAAACATAAAACGTACGAAAAACTATTGCTTGAGCTTAGAATTGTAAAACAATTTATTTAAAACTAGCCGTCGGACACTGCGATTTTATTTTGATTAAATGAAAGTACCCTTAGAGCTGTATGCAGCCAGAGGGAATTTTCATTATTCTTCTAACGACACTGTTTCAATGATGATCGTAAATACCAGTCTATTTTAATTGTGTGTGAGTTATTTATTTATCGAACTTTTAACAAATAGTTGTTTAACTTTATAAATCTGGGATAGTATTTATCAACGCCCCGGGCGACAGTCTTTAATCACATGAATTTGTGAATCAAAAAACTAATATGTCTATGTCATACTCATAACATTGTGTTGTTATGTACTACTGATTATCGCTAAAACTACTGGCAAAATCGTAAAACGCAGCAATGTTGTAATTGGCAGAGCGTATACTAAGTTTGTTACCTGTTCAGCATTATTTGACATTTTTATGGTTGTTTTATGCCATTTACATCTACTTATTAATATTTCTTTCACTAATAGTTAAACTTGAAATTATTTTGCAATCGATTTGATGATACACGTTTAGGCAGTAATGCAACAGTTAGTACCTAGTCCGTTAAGCTTATTCCATATGCAACATTACCTATGAACTACATACCTATTTAGGTACATCAGTTAAAAATAATTAAACTCGTTGCTCACCTGACTAGGATAATACGGCGAATTGTACGCGCTCTGCCCGTAGCCTTGGTGATGATGTGACGTCGAGTAACTCCTGATGTAGTCGGAACTGCCCGGCCAGTGGAAGCTGTTGTAACTATCCGGGTGGTACACGTTCCCTGGTCCGTTTATACTCTGAGGAGTAATAGGAGGAGACGGAGTGGTCATGATTGAGGAATTGGAACCCAAAGGAGTAAGATTACCCGTCAATCGGGAGCTATACTGGTCTTTTACCAAATTACTCCCGAACTTTTCTGTGTAGTCCAACTTGCTGGAGTAGTCCAATCTCTTCGGACTGCTGTACAACTCCTGCTTAGGAGTGACTCCATAACCGTGGATGTTGGACACAGGTTCTGAAGGGGAAGATTCCTTGCCACCGCTTATTCTCAGCTCATTGGAATTGTAGTGGGATAAAGAAGTTAAACTATTATTTTTGTTCAGCGGTGAACTTTCATAGTTCGATCCTGCTGACTCCTTCTTACAGATAACGTTTATAGGGGGACTGACAGAAGTCGTAGGAGTAATAGGAAGGTTGGGAGAAGATGTGGTGATACTAGAATTCTGTGTAGTAGCTACGTTTGAGGAGCTGGTGAGGGATTTGGAAGTGGTTATCTTTGTGGAGCTTGTGGAAGTCTTAATGCTGCTGTTGGCTACTGATGACTTCGAGCTGGACGTGGATTTACTGGATATCTGTGTGTTCGTCTGCTGCTGCAGCTGTTGTCGACATTTTGCTCTTCGGTTCTTGAACCAAACCTGTTGACAAGAAGCTTTGTTAGTCAAAAATCAAGATTTGGTAATTTCATTTTTAAATTAACTTTTTTTTAATCTCCAGTGGTGGAAACCTCTCTGGTTCCTATCAATTTTCTTTGTAAACTTAATGAAAATATCACTTAACAAACAAAACAAACACTGAGTGCCAACCCTAATATCGCTAAACATATCACAATTACAAGCCACCAGTAACAAGCTCCTACTATTTGCTCATTGCATTCGTTCGAAGCAATTACTCGACGCGTTCTAGTTCAGTTTGCGTAGCGGATTATATAAGTGATTTATTACGCGTACACGTGAGTATGTGGCGAAAGGCAAATGGTAGGGCTGATTAATTTTTTTAGGTTATTTTTTGTATTATAATATTTATGGCTTTCGCTTGCAATTTCTTTTGTGTTAAACTGGATGTTTGTAATTCAGTTTTCAAGCGTTATTTTAGCAAATCCTAGGGTTTTTGTAGTGCAGTTCTTTATTGTATATTTTCAGTGATTGTTTGTAATTCGACATGTTGTATGTAACGCGCTTATGATGGTATAAGTGCGTTTTCAATTGCACAGGCAAAGCCTTAATTTTTTCTCGATCAGGTCATAAACCTATAAACATTGTAAGCGGGCTGTTATATGCTTTCATAATTGGATTCAACTACTACAGAGTTATTTCTTAAATTATAGTAATAAGTAGTTATTTCACCACAATCTAATTTATTTTCAATACGGTGAAACTACTATTTATAACAGTAGCGTCAACGGAAGGTACTCATTGTTTTCGCCAGAGGTCGCTACGTGCTTTACCATAAACAACTGAGCTTACCTCACCCTCATTTTGATGCTGTTTTTTGTAAAAAGATCTAAATATAACTCGACAGATGGTTAACTAATTATTCTTCTTAATTTATTATTATGTTATAGAAACGTGTGGCAAGTTTTAGTAGGCGGGTGCACTTTATGGGGGGTGATTGTTAAGCCTATGTATTAATAGGGCACAATTAAGTATGTCAACTTGTGTATATAGTATTTGTGTACCGTTGATTGAACGACAGTAATAATAAATAGTATAACTATCGCACAAATTCACCGCGGGAAGTGGAAACGATTGTTTTTTTCTTCTCCTCTTATAATATCTTCTGATTTATGTATTTCGTTGCGGAACCAAGATAGTTATTCATGTCTTTGACTTCAGGGTTCCGGAGTTTTCATGGTTGTATCTACTGTAGATCCTGGCTTACAGGAGTTGCAGCGGTTTTGGGAGGTTGTGGAGGGCTTGTCCCATTAAAAAAAAAGTCATATGAAATTGATTGTTTTATTTTACGAATGTGCAACAAAATAGCACTGTTGGACGTCAATTAAATTAAATTATCAAAATACAGCGATAGGTACCTATTTTATATACAAAATTTCCTTTAAATTGTACCCCGACAAAACAAAATAAAGCGATTGTGTACCCTCACATCATTACACAGATCAGATAGTGACATCTAAACGGTCCAATTATAATGTGTTTGAAGTTATTTTATCAGATCGCAACCGTCAAATGGACAAGCTTTGCTATTTATGCAACGACTAATTGGCGAGAACTTCTAGTAGGGGTTTTAAGTCGCGAATAGATTTATTTGAAAAAAAAATAGAGTATTGTATTTTGTTGTCTTGTTCAACGATATCAAGATAGTAATTTAAGGTTTTTTGAGATCATTATGGGTAGACTGAATAAAAGAAATATAATAAAATAGTGTCACGATAGAAAACTTATATTTTAGGTACTACTCCCTTAAGTTCCTTTCAGTAGAAAACCGTTATAATGAATAATGTTCAATTTTTTTAACACATTGTAACTTTTCGCAATTGACACCCCAGTTAAAATTGCATTCCATTTTTAAAAAAAATGTTTTACCACCATGTTTATAACGGATTCCTTAAAAGCTTTATAAGTACTTAACAACTCAGACATCGTCGACGCAAAACAATCGAATAATTCGATTTTCAAATTTCAAAATCAGAACGTAATTCGATTGGTAGCGCTAATGCTCTATTCGTGTTGGTATAAATTGGACGTTTGAACGAATTAGAAATCAGTCGGGCGTTGGTATTTAACCGGTGTGGGTCTGTTGAAGATTTTAATAACTTTATTTTTTAATAGCGTTTTGGGTGGCACATAGTCGCGTTATGATGGATTATTATTCATCTATTAGATGCGCTATCTCGACTTAATTGAAATTTAATAATCTACGGATTTTCTCCGCTTGCTGGATAAGGGCGATGGTTGTTTTATAATGTATTAACTAGGTTATGATTATGCGTCAGTTTCTAGTGAGCGAGGTGCATGGCTTAAAGATTGTGTAGATTTGAATGCATGTGTTCAAAACATTGGGATACTGTTAAGTATCTGAATCAAAATTGGACTAAAGTCGATTTGAAAGCATCTTGAAGCATCTCTGTTACTCTATGTGAATCTGTCATTTAGCAGTCGAGCAACATGTGCTAAATTTTATTCCATGTTGACCCTAGTCGACCTAATTAGAGAGTAGGAATCCAGGAGAATGAAAATTACTTTTAAAAGGCCACTTCCAACTCCTGTGGTGCAACAAATATACGTATACATGGGTGACGCTGATCGCTTACCATCAGGTGATCGGAATCATGTGGATTGTTCTTTAAATCATAACAAATCGACACAGCCTAGTTAGTAAATGCTAGCTAAGGAGGAGGCGGAGCGCGTGAGGAAATGAACCTCCTCACGCCCTGGCCGTCGCGAGAGACACTCCAGGCGTCGGGGATCGCGAGACGATCTCCGGCCACCGCAAGCACGGGCCTGCGGACGGCGAGCATGGGTGATTCGCCGCCCGACCAGAACCAGACCCGACCCATCAGAACACCACAGTCGCGGAAGACTTAACGGGTTGCCGGGGCTTCGGCTAGTGTGCAAGTGCAGGAGTAGGAACGGGGTGGTTTTTAGTCAGGAAGAGTCTGACACTCCCTCTCGCCTACCCGGGCGGGAGAAGTCATTGGATGATTTTCTCCCCTCAAAAAAAAGGCTAATGAGAGAATATTATTAAAATAGACTTCTTACCTGCACTCTACTCTCAGGTAGATTAATCTTCAGCGCGACCTCTTCCCTCATGAAGATGTCAGGGTACCTTGTCTTCCCAAATAAAGCTTCTAACACGTCTAGCTGCGCACGAGTGAACGTTGTCCTCTCTCTCCTTTGTTTTCTAGGATTAACACCTGGGGACAAAGAGTAAGATGTGATTAGATTCTGAGATATTACCTATATCTTAGATATAGATATAGGCTATAAGCTCACTCCCTATTACATTGGACTCATAACAAAAATAGTGAAAAGTGGGTGTTACTTCTGTCTCTGCCTACCCCTTCGGGGATGAAAGACGTGATGTTATGATGTTATGTTATATAGGTATTTTGAAAAATACCCAGGAATAGAACGCAGGCTGAATGTGTGTACGGTGTGTGATAATTGGCTCTATCAAAGAGCACTGCTGCCTGGTTTCTGTCCAATCTGCAGTGGACTCTGTCACCCGCGAGATTTTTATTTATTTAATGCACTAACTACTACCATTACAGATACATTCCAATACGATAGTGTAGCCATCAGTCTCACCACATCTTTTAGCAATTACTTATTACGTAAGAAGTATAATTAAGTTAAGTTAAAACTTAACACTTATACATATCTATATACTAATACAATAAAGTTTCCCATACAAATTTAACTGTTTAACATTTCTAACTACTGAGTAACTGAATCATAAAAACCAAATATGAGAAGTGGAGAAGTAGAGACAAATTGTATTAAATTCTGCTATCATTCGTCAACACAATTCATTTTACGAATACTTAGATTGTTACTGCCTTGTTAGCCGAATAGTCACAAGTACAACTGCCGGCCAAGGGGTCGGTTTCATTCCCGGGTCGGACAAAGTATTACTGGGTTTTTATAAACATTTTCAGTAGTAGCACGGAGTCTGGAAATGTGCTCGGTATATGGCAATAGGCTCACCCCCTATTACATGGGACTCATAACATAAATAGTGAAAAGGGGGTGTTACATTGTATAGTGGCCGTAATGTGAACCTTAGCCTCTTCGGGAATAAAAGGCCTGATGTTATGTTATGTTATGTAATTAGATTTATCAATCAATTCTGAAGAATAGTAACAGATTTAAGAAACCCAATAGCATCTCCTAGTACACTACACTATTTTTAGATTTACGATATTATTTTAAAAGGCGTATAATATTTATATTATGAATGTGCTAAATTAAAATATGGCAATATAATATGAAACAGGTAAACTAAAATATTTATTATGTTGTTTTATTATATTGCAAATTGTTTGAATTGCTATGTTAATGTGGAAACCAGTTTGTTAAGTTTTTATAATAACTATCGTGAGACATACTACATCACAGCCTACATGTGATATCGCTGCGACCGCGCACGCTGCTCATGAGGAAGAACCCCTTTATGGTTCGAAACTAGTAGAGCTTTTCTCAGTATATTCACGTGAGTAACCCGCGATTTTTAGTAATTCAGTTTCGTAAGGGTTTCTCTACTATATTATCCATGTATAATACATATAAACCTTCCTGAAGAATCACTCTATCTATTAAAAAAAAACCGCATCAAAATCCGTTGCGTAGTTTTAAAGATCTAAGCATACATAGGGACAGAAAGACGGCGGATAACGACTTTATTTTATACTATATAGTAATAGTGATTAGTATGATTTTGTCAGATACATAATTGCAGAACCATATATAAAAATGTTATTGTATATTGTTTAACGTATATTGTATTCTGTGTCTTCAACTTAATCTACTGTTATACTACTGCCTATACTATCTCTCTACTATTTGCCAAAATATTTAGAAATAACATTAATCAATACTTTACCCAACCGAAAGAGGCAAAGGACCACACTTAGAGCCTTGTGTACGATAGTCGTTCTCATCACTATGCGACTAAAGACTTATTCGATGTTCCCAGTAGCACGGACACTGATTACGAGTTTTTTATTAACGCGTTTAGTAACATCGATAATTTTATTACTATTTTACGACCTTATATTAATTTTATAACAAATTTAAAAATTTCTAATGTTACACGACACGTTCAGAGGCGACAAAACAAATTATTTTTATGATATTTCATTATACAAATGTCATTAAAGTTGGTTACAATAATTTTATGTTCCTAGTTCAGTAGTGTAGTGATGTTCCTTGCTTCAGTTTTAGTATTATTCTTAATCGGTTACTAAAACGAGATATTGGATTAGAAAACGTATCATAAACTTAATTAGTATCTAGTAAAAGTTTCTAAACTGTAGTAAAATGGTTAGTTGGCTGTTAAATTGAGATTAAATGGTGAGTTTTATTGACTCTTATATTGAACTGGTTGCAAGGTTTGCAATGATAATTAATCTGCTAATAATCAAAGTGCTTAGAATTGCCTATGCAGCGAGTTATAGGTACCTGAATTAACCATTTGACCGAACTGTTAAGATAATTAAGTAAAGAAGTGTGATTAGAAATTATATATACAATTCTACAACCAATAACTAGTTTAAATGCGTTAGAAAATAAAAAAAACCAGTAGCCATGAAGTAAAATTAAACGGCTTAAAACTCCACAATCATAAATAAAAACATAAATAACTAACGCATTCAACTTGAATTAATTGAATGATAACGATACTCGAGTCCACACTAAATTAATCGATTATACTAATCGCTTATCCGATTCGTTAGTCGATTACCTAGTCCCATCACTATTCCCACTGGTTTTTCCCGTTTAATGAATATTAAATATTAAAATTATGACATTAGTTATACTGGTAGTTGTAAATATAGGAAGTGCCACCGTCTGTCTGTTCGTATGGAAATAAAATACTACATTTGTGTTATGATTAGTTTGTGAACAAGAATTCGTCTTTTGCTCATCCCTGCTAATGTTATAAATGCGATAATATGTTTTTTATCTTTCTTTCAGGTCAGAACGGAGCGTTTTTATATGTGGCCATCAGATCTGAGGTTTTTTTTTATTTAAGGAGGGAAAATCATCGAATGACTGCTCCCGTCTGGGTTAGGCGAGAGGGAGTGTCAGACTCTTACTGACTAAAAACCACCCCGTTCCTTCTCCTGCACGTCGAGCCGGAGCCCCGGTAACCCGTTAGGTTCTCTGCGACAATCAGATCGGAGGTTAGAGTGACATACAGTAGTACTTTTATTCGGAGCATTGTATTATTGCATTGGTTGAAATTTTAATGCCCTCTGCGATCCTCAAGCCGGTTACCAAGTGTGATGGATTCTAGCAAACCCTTTCGTAAGGACGATTTTATTTCTGCAGCGGATATATTCTAACTGATGATAGCTTTTTTTAGATGCATAATACGACAAAATGGTTTTGATATCAAAGAGAGTTGATATTTTTTTTATTATTATTTATCATAATTATATTTTATCATAATTTGACAGGCAAAGTAATCCAGGGTTTTAAAAAAAATCTCAGTATTAGCACGGAGTATGGAATTGTGCCCGGTATATGGCAATAAACTCACCTCCCATTACATGGGACTCATAATAAACATAAATAGTGAAAAGTGGGTGTTACACTATACAGTGGCATAATGTGCACCTCTGCCTACCTCTTCCGGGATAAAATTCGTGATTTTATATTATGTTATGTACCTAATTATATTAACTTGATCAAATTCTACGCTTTGCGTTAATCTCTCTTGTTCAGTTACGAAGCTAAGTTTTAAAATAAAAAACAGCAATAAGTTTACAGTCTATTAGTAAGTAGATACCAATATTGTAATAAAAATATAACCGGTTACGTTCTAAATAGCTTTCTTTAATATTATGACAGTCAATCAAAACGTCAAACGTCATTCGATTTATGGCGTGTCTAAAATTATGGCAAAGGCAATAAAATATTATGCCTACTTTAGAACTTTATGGTTTAAAAAGTAATTAATTGAATGGTTTAAGTTCGAAATCTGAATAATTTGTTTATGTATAGGTGTGTGGTATGCTGTATTATATTTTATGAGATGTGGTCAGATATGATTCAATCTAAGAGGGTAAAGTCTCTATATAAACATTAAATAGATACTTAGCATTTGATGACTAATTAAGAGTCTAGAATTACTAACAGGAGAAATTCGACAAACTATTTGCAATATCACTGACAGCTGTCACTATAATCAAGCAATTCATATTCTCATAGAAATCAACGAAACACTTTCAAATCCTGTCACTTTCATAACAATAATCCATGAAGAATGGACTGGAAAATATGTCAAACAACTGACGAAAGGAATTTATCCGCCATTACTCAAGTTGTATGTCGTTCTAAACAAACAAATAAAGCAGGTCATACCTCCACTAATACCTTGTAATCCCCATAGAAATTAAAAATCATTAACAAACCCATCTACCATCAGTCAAGCCCAAATTACATCTAACATAAGTAAGTCACAAAGTTTCAATGATAAATAGCTTTGACGCATGTTTTTCTACATGTTTTCTCGTGAATGGTCAAAGACAGACTGCGTGACGCGAGCGCGCGCTCGACGCTTTTGTTTCCCATAGACAACTAGAGACATAGAGAAATAATTCTTTATTTTTGGTTATGGAATGTCTTTTTTGGGATTAAGATGTTAGACGCTTTCATTGTAGTGTAACTGTAACAGATTATTATCGATGGGTTAAATAAATAGATGGTAATTTAATTTACTATATCATGCATCTTTTTGTAAGCGTGGGTAAGTTTTTGTTATTATTATTATTCCACAGATTATACAGCCACATACAGGAGCATGTATCTACCTACTCAAGACATAATATTCAAGACAATCAGCTTTAAGAAACACATTAAGTCATTTGCCTCATCAACCAGTGAAAATATGCGAATAAATAAAACATTTGTCAAGGTATTGAATGTCTATCCCGATCTATTAAACAGAGGTTTACTGAAATTGAAACCGATTCCCAAAAATACACAAACATAACAGCAAAAAGTGACAAAATATCAAAAACAGCATCGCATTAAAATATATCTCGCAAACAATTCGATCTACTATAACAATCCAACGAAAACTGATATTAGCGCTCTCTGTGACGGATTAAAAATATAAAAATAATACAATATCCATTTTGAAACGCGCTCGCGATACCCCATTGTGAATATCCAAACAAACATTCAT